CTGAGAATCTCACTGACGTTCAGGGCAAGTTGTCTGTGTTCTGGCTGATCAGAGAATGATATCTCAGGAAATTAAAGGACATCAAAAACTAAAGGTGTGCTGAGACAAGCTCCTAATTACTCATCTGATGCCTGCGAGGGAGATGTTCAGGATGGTTTTGTAGTTTGTTCATGTTTTCTTTGTTAGTGTAGCAGCTTCGGGACAATCAGTTTTCTGAAGGACTGGAAGAAACCCTACCTAGTTGTCCTTATTTGCTTCTTTAGGTCTTTTTCCTGCCTTTGTGGATTCCTGGAAATTTGTCATGCCTGACTGTGCGATGCTTCGACTGCATCTTCTTGCAGAGGTTATTTGAATTATCTACAGTCTCCACAGTGCCACATGAACTCCCTTCAAGTTAGCCTGGGTCAAATCAGAGCGGTTACGCTGTGGCTTCGAGCAGCACACAGCACTTTTACCAGCAGCTGAGGAATTGCCCTGACTCCATCTCTCATCAATACCCTTAGTAAACTCAAGTTAAAAGCACCGTGGCAGCCACCATAGGAATTTTGGGTTGAGAACAGGGCTTGTGCTAATTACGAGGACTTAGTCACAACTTGTTGACTCCACGTTGAAGACACGCTCTTACAAGTAGCCATGCTCAGGCAGGGTGGGAATTGAGAGGAAGCCCACTCTGACACTTACAGCTCTGAGCACAGTGTCTCCAGTAATTTGGTTTCATTTCTTGTTGCGCTTCGTGTCTCTAATGTCACTTCTTATATTTGTCTCCCTTTCTGTGCCTCAATTCTGCAGTTATGAAATCACATCACTGGTGGTTTTCTGCTCTTTGTCTCCTCTCCGTACACTGGAAGTCCATCAGGATGGGAATTTTCTAATATTTATTGAGTCTGCAATACATAGTGTGATGTGACCACACCTGTGCCTGGGGGAGGTCGGGAGAGCCCTGACTGACTTCTTAGAGCTTCTGTACTTTGAGAATATGTCATTGGCTTTGGACTGTGAGGCAGGAACAGCCTGAATATCCATACAACTCCTACAGCTAATTCCCTTTGATAGATTTGAGACTTTTCTTTCAACCTTAAAATTTTACTGGTTTCTGCCCTGCCGGGCAGAGAGTGCTGAGGCTGAATAAATTGAATTTTTCTTAAATTATATCAGTGCTAAATATGGTACATTGTTCTAAGTTGCCGTATCCTCTGCATATAAAGAGGAGTGGAAAATGGATAAATGGGGAGAAAATGTGTGACGATACCTAATTTATTCTAAGACCAAGCTTCTAATCTTCTCTATTTCTTTTTGTTTCTTCCAGGTGGAGCGGGAAATAGCCATCCTGAAGTTGATAGAACATCCCCACGTTTTAAAGCTGCATGATGTTTACGAAAATAAAAAATATTTGTAGGTATTACTGGCTTTTGCCAGAGAAAGGGGAAGGGAAGGAGGAAGGAAGGGAGGGAGGAAGGAAGGGAGGGAGAGGAGGGGTTTGGAACTTGGTAACATTTCTGAAGGAATGGAGCAGGGTGTGTTTTCACCCTCAGATGATCTGTGTGATATCTGGTACTTGGGTGAGGAAGGAACAATCCTTATTTCCATGGCTTTTCTCATTTTCTTCTCTGTGCTTTAATTATGTGCTGTTTCTTCTTCTCCTACTTAAACTGATGGATAAAGGACAAACCAAGTTTTTCTATCAAACAGCAAAGGGGAGGAACATTTGTACCTTTAAGGTCTGGAATCATTTTGAATCAAAACTGTACCAGAGTGTTACCGTGGGTAATTTGGATAACTTCCCTTGCCTAAAAGTTTCCATTGAAACCCTTGACTCTCACTAACAATATTTTAAATTTACCCCATCAATAACAATTTTTTATTTTAAGGGCTGCTGAAATCTCCTGATGGTTCTGTTAAGTAGCAAAGCCTTTTCAAAGCCTTCCCCCCCCTCGCCCCCAGATCATTGCCAGTGCCAGACAGGGACGTTGTCCACAGACAGAGTCATTTTAGCTTGACAGGGCACCAGATATGTTGAATCTGCTGTCAAACAGGCCACGTTAATCTTGGCACAACAGGAAAAGAACAAAAATCAATGTTCTCCAAATGGAAAAAGGTGACCCAGTAGGGAACTCAGTGTTATTTTCAGCTTTTTAACAGGTTATTGCAAGTAGAAGAGAGTGGTTTGTAAAAAATTAAAACTATTTTTAAAAACCACCATCCGTGGGTGACCTCTCCTTAATGTCACAACACACGAAGGGAATGGCCGTTTACCCAAGGAAAGCGTGTTCAGTGGAGGTAACAATCCCTCACGGGCTATTCAGCCACTTTTGTTACTGGAGCAATGAATTCCTGCTCCGAGAAGCGAGGCCTCTGTGCCTCAGGGTGAGCTTAGCAGAGCAGGCAGGAATTTCTTTTGGATCCCCTGTCCTCCTTTGGGGCAGATCCCGCCGTCCGTGGTGAGATGCGGTTGCCAGAGGGAGCTGGTGCAGGTGCTGGATGGAGGCTGCTGGCTCAGATGGTCTCTGAGCTGCAAGCCAAGGGCTCCATCCTCAGTGACTTACATGGTTGTGGCCCCATTAAGCCCAGTTTGTCCCAGCTGAGGGCAGAAGCCCAGATCTAATGCAGCCTGCTCTGTGTGCAGGAGAGGGTAGCAAAGGGAAATGAGGCTTTACAGCCAGTAAGTTCTCCTTTCATCCTGGAAAGAGAGGCACCGTTTGTAGAGTACATTCCACTGTGTTCTGCTTTAAACGGGGGTAGGATGAGCCCCCAGGCTTTCTCTTGATTAAGGAAGAGGAAATATTCTTCTTTATGATCCTTGTTTATTTGCATGTTGTGTAATCTTAGGTATACACACACATAAACACATGCACGCTTGCACGAGCAGAGCATAGAGCTGGAGTGTTCCAGGTAGGTGTAGTGTACTCAGGCGGTGGAGATGATGTGTGAATACATGAAGAAAGGCCATGGTCATCACTTGGGGTGAAGGGATGGCTTACAGGTGTGCTGAAGAGCTTACAGAGCAAGCTGCTTCTTGCTCTGAATACCTGTGAAGCCAGCAGCTGAGCTGAGCTCTCCTTTACCCCAAAAGACTTGGTGGCTATTTTGTGAAGAATATCTAGTGCCCAGAGCAGTGGGGATGGTCTTAAACCAAGATTTCAAAAAAAAGACTGTTCCTTAGC